GGTAAGATTAATTTTTAATTCCCGTCAGTCATCGGCGCAGCTACCCTTCACTGTTTCACAGCAGGGCGCAACTTTGCATGTTGTTTTGGGGGCGTCATGCGGTCGATTATGGATGTGTTTGGGCTGTAAAATAGGTTTTTCGTTTAACACCAGGAGATGTGTGAGAAAATAAAACAAAAAATAAATAAATAAAATGCATTAGAAAGGATTTTTCACTACCACAGTGTTGCGCTTCATTTTGAAAAAAAGAAGAAAAAAAATTACATATTAGGTTCTTTGTTTCTGTGACAGCAGTGCACCAGGCCTTTGCTGGAATGCAGTTATTATCTTGGTAGGCGGCGCTGAGTTTCCCGTATCATTATTGATTGGCTGCTGACATGCAGCTTGAAACTGAATTCTCTGATGACAACAGAACAACAACAACAACAACAAAAATCACAGCACAGGGATTTCTTCACATAGAAAAATGCATGTGCTGAGGAAGAAAGTCCACACTATAAATGTTACTGAAATTGACTTTCAGGATGTACATTTTCCTAATTCTGCATAAGCCTAAACAAAACTGTCATGATTTATCAGTTTGCCTCCAATCTACACTTAGTGAGCCTGTCTGTCTGAATTCACTCTTCCTAATTTATAAATTAAAATCTGATCACCCTCCTTTATCCGTCTTGATTGAAACAAAATCAGCTAAATCAGTGTGTCACACCTCATCATGCAGTCATATAGTTCAAAAGACAGAGAGCTGAGGCCCAGAGTAAAACAATGTAAAATGGCACATACACCAAATAATTCTGCTTTAAATTCAGAGCTACATGTGACAACACATGATAAATAGACACTGTAGATCTTGTTTGAGATGTTAGCTCCACCTTATGGCCACACATGAGAAAGATCTGTGATACACAAATTTGAAGCGAGTGCAGCACTAATTAGAATCAACAAGGTGAAGTACTTCTCCAGCTTCCTCCCACAGTTCAAAAAAACGTCTAAATTGTCTGCAGGTGTGAATGTGAGTGTGCTTGGTTGTCTGTCTCTAAGTGTAGCCCTGTGATAGACTGGTGACCTGTCCAGGGTGTCCCCTGTCTTCACCCTGAGTCAGCTGGGATAGACTCCAGCCCCCCATGACCCTAGTGAGGATTAAGCAGTGTATAGATAATGGATGGATGGAAGATGAAGTATGGACAGGCTGGCGGTTCCTGGCGATGTTTTCCAACTCCTGGAGAATCCTGAGACTTTGGCAGGCCAGATGGCATAAATAATTTCCCTAGCGTGATCTGGAACAACTGGGGGAGTCTCGATTGGATCGGGAGGCTGTTTCAGCTGATCAAAATACTGGATGACATTCTGATTCAACCAAGGAGGATATGACATGCAACAGTCATGGTCCACAGCACTGATTGGCTCAAACACTGGGTGTCTCCTCAGGCCATTATCTGCTTCGTCTTGGAAATTGCTATCAAGACAGACTCAAAACACACATTTAGCCAATGTTCCACAGATCAAAGTGACTTCCAGTGCAGATGCTACATGATGGTGTGCAACAATAAGGAAAAAGGCTGGTGTGTGCTTCTTTTGTCCGAGTCTAAAAGCAAAGTTTGTACAGCCTACTTGTCCTGAACGACAGCGAATCTGGAGTAAAAATGCCTACAGAAGGGCAAGATGTGCTTAAGTGCTCAGATGTGTGTACAAGTGCACAGACAGGCTCTGAGGCGTTCACTGCATTGCACCTGATTGCAGGGTTTGTGCAAAATGTCACGTGTGAAGAACAAAAACAAAGAGGTTGACAGAGAAGGTCAAATCCTGGATACGTTTCTGCACACCGGGCGAGATGCTGTGATAAACGGACATGTTTTTTGTTTGAGGCCAGAAAGTCACAAAAATGATTGGACGCAACCCCCATACTGATGCCTAAAGTCTCGACGTGGTGCAAGAGATTTCTACAACCACCTGCGGCCTCCTGACTCCTACTGGAAGCATTCAACAAAACGGATGGACGAAAAAGTATTCCCTCACCAAATTGCTGATGACGGGATAATAAATGAAACTGAGATCCCTCCACAGGTGACCTCTACCTCCCCAAACAGCCTCTTTCTAAGCTAAGTCCGGTGGTGCAGAACTGTCACCTGAAAATGCCTTATCGAGCAGTGTGAGGCTGCACCTGTGTGCCGCAGGAGTTGTCGACAACAGCTGTGTCAGCGTTGGAAATCGTGACACACTCGTGTGCTGTAAAGCCATCAGGAAAAACAGACAAACTCTCTCTGCCAATGCTTTGAATATGTAGGAGACAATCCTGCACAAAATCAGTCCCTCTAGACAGAATACCAAACAGGCAAGCCGAGGGATAGATGTGTTTAGAGGAAATAGCTGTTTTGTTCACAAGTAACACAAGGGGACGACTGCAGCTGACAGGCGGTGTGGAGTCAGACGGTGATTCGTGTCAACAGAGACAGCTTTAAAGTGACTCAGAGGAGAATAAACCGATCATGTGAGGGTTGTATGACGAACTCAGAGAGTAGCTGTTGTGATGGGTGGAAGTCCTGGAGGTAATCCAGACATCCCCCTCATCATGTCATTCTCTCCTCTTTTTACAGACAGCCCCGAGAGGCACATCGGGTCAGACCTTGTCATGCTTTATTGATTTGGAAGCAGCATCTGTATTTCAAGAAGCAGAGCTGACTGTGGGAAACCTTGGCCTGGAGTGGGTTTCTTGGCACTGTTTGCCTGACGAAGAGCACAGGAGGTGGGATGAGGCTTGGCGCTGGAGATTAAATCTCCAGATCTGATTAAAGTCTGGCTGATGAAGCTGTCGCACAATCCTTTGTTTTTATGATCTGTCTAATGAGCTGAGACATGTGCAGCCACCTATAATGCCGTAGCACTGTAATCCATGCTATATTTGTGCAGCAGTTACCGAGGACGTCTTGAGATCAAGCTCCCTGCAATTACCCTCATGGTCTCATCTGCAAGCTCGGAGTGGGGTTGGCTAAGGTTACAAAAAACTGCATAGAAAAGCAAGAAGAGGAAAGTGCTGTAAAATGGCAACAAATCCAGACTCATTTGAGCATATGGTCTGATGAGGCAAAGGACTGCAGTGCCAGAAAACAAGACCAGACTGTTCAGGGTAAATGGGTAAGATGCCCATCTCAAGAAAAATGCTGCATTCTTTCCTTATTAGATTATATAGCCTAACCCTGTTTAACATCAATATAATATGTATGCAAGAGGTATGTTTAAGTGAACTGATGTAGAATAAGATTAAACTGTATTGTCACAGTCGGGAGTGCAGCAAAACGCACTTATTTCATATCCCAGCTTGTTGAGAAGCTGTGGTCAGAGCAGAGGGTCAGCAGATGGAGTTAAAGCCTTGCTCAAGAGTCCAACAGCCTGGAGGTCGAAATCTTTGTCACTTTAAAACTTAATCTAAAATCTTTAAGAGGAGCATCTTCCACTGGTTTACCCGACTTTTTTTATTCACTTAAGCTGCTGTCTCAAAGGCCGAACTTCAAATAAACTAAAGAATCTGACAACAACTTCACGTGTCGGCTTTATGTCTGAATACGCGCCCTGGTCACATTTTCTTAGAAGTCTCGCCTGGTTGGACCGAGTAACATTTCTCTATCACATTCAACAAGGCACACGTCTGAACTGAATCATCATTTTAACGGATAGACACAGACAACCAAGTGCGATCAGCATCAAGGTGTGAAGTGATTTAGGGAAGGATTTTTCTCCCCCCACATTTTAGCACCAATATTCTTTTTAAAACATCACAAAGATGCTTTTAATGTAAGATGTAAGACAACACTTTATACACGGTCGGTGTGGTTGGCTGATGCTGGTTGCATGCCTTTGCAGTAGCAAAGATCAGCACTAATTTGACCTATTTTGGGGCAAATCCTACATATTTTTAAATAAAGATGTTTCCTGAAAATATCAAAACCTGCAATACAATAATAAAAAAAAGTGCTCTCTCTCTATACACACACACACACACACACATATATATATATAACTTAAATATAGATTTTTGTTTTTGCTCTGACTATATCTACATACAGTGCTTGACAAATGTATTAGTCCACCTGTCTAATTTGTTTAGCACTGTATATTTACATGTAGACCATCCAGCATCATGACGTTTTTTAATGGGCTCTCAGCTCTTAATGTTTTACCATTTTAAACAAGAATGAGGAATTTCAAACTGAATTCACCTTCTTATACCCAGATCATCCAGCTCACTGGGCTCCTCTGAGAAGACAGAAATGAATCAAGCACAGCATTCAACCACTAAAACGTGTTTTCTGTTCAGGAATGCAAGTAAATAACAATAATTTGACATTTTAATCAAGAAATAATGACGTGCTTTACTATTTTTCTGGTATTTTAGATACAGTAAATGTGAAAATTCATAGCTAACAATAATAATAATTATAATTTAGCATTGAAAATATAATTCTGGTTAAAGAGCTTCTACATACAGGTGTATTAACCATTACAGAAACGTAAACAATGGCGTTAGTAATTACCAATACTGTTAATTTAAGGAGGCTTTGGCATGTGTATATGTATATATTATTATTTATTGATTTAAATACGGACAGTTATTGACTTTCTTAGATAGTATAGTTTAAAACGATAGTATTACCAAAGTATCAAGCAGACATGGAAAAACAATTACATTTTGTTTTAGTAAAACCAGCTCCTAATAAAAAAAAAAGTATGTCAGTTTAGTTTTTAAAAACAAGAACAAACACAGAGAAGTTCACTTGCTGTTGACCGAAGCGGAAGATGCCCTTTAGCTCCATCCGCATTTGTGTGTATGACATCTAAAAATGACCAAATAAGTAGAAGCATGCTACTATACAGCAAGCACCAACGTAGAAATGTCACGCTGTCATAAAAAAAAGCATTGTTCCCGTCCTCACAGACCGTCATGAAGAAAATTAAGCAGACAAAGTCCCGTTTGTCCGGGGGTCCGTGAAGGTAACAGGAGTCACGCGTTGTTTGCCTCAGCGTACAAATATGGCGGATGATGGAGAGTCGCTGGAGTCTTGGCTTAGTAAGTACACGTTTAAACTCTTTTATCGCGTCATTTAATCACTCTACACGTGTGTCCGTATGTGCTGCAGTACAACAGGTGCCTGAAATATTAATTGGACTCGCTTGACATGGCTGTGTCTGTACATTACCGCGTTAGTTCGGGTGTGTTGTTGTCAGAAGCGGCTAACACAGTCAGCTGATGGGTGGCAATAGCTTAAAAAAATCAGCCTCGGTGTCTGGTTCACCTGTGTCACGGACTTAGGAGTCAGTGTGCTGGCTAGAAATGTCTTTATTGTGTTGTCGTTGCGACCCACGGCACTCTTTATAGTTGTGTAAACACCTCCAGGCGTTGTCCTGTCAAAGTTCAAACAACGTCTGAAACTGAAACAACAAACTGGATCAGCCAAGTGTCCTGCGGCTAATTAAGAGAGGACTCAAGATGGACTGAAACGGCTGGATAACAATCGATCGGTGTGCTGGACTCAGAAGGGATGAAGCTTGATGCTCAGGGCTTGACTTCAAGAGCTCATGTTGTGCCCCCTTTTTTACCAAGTTATTGAAAATCTGACATGTTCCCAGAGTGTGTCTTTCATTTTTCTGGTCAAAGTGCTGCACAGATGACTCATTTAAATAAGTCCTGGTTTTAGCTCTGTTCTAAATGGGCTTTATGAATGCGTGTAGCAGTGATTTCAGCTCAGCTCCAGCTCTCCATGCCCCTTCAGGAAGGAGACTCTGCATCTGTGATTGACAGCTGATGGTCATGAATGGGTCTCTTTAACTGTCTTTCTCAGCAGGATTCAGCTGAATTGGCAGCACAGCCATTTTTTAAAAATGTACTTATGTCAGACAGTGTTGCGGTTAGTAAAATAAATGGTCTTTTTCAGTCTTATTTCACCCAGGAAGAATCAACATCACTGATTCGGTTTAACTTTCACTGAAGCATAAGAGGTGTGTCAGAAAAGTTCCAGGACTGGTGTCACAAAAGATATATTTCAAACCCAAACTACCAGTTTTCCCCTTCAGACGATCAACCAGCTCCTCTTCAAAGAGATCCTGCAGTGTTTGCTTCGTTCAGAAGAGGCGAGAGTTGTGGCAGGACCAGTGGTGGCTGCTTCACCATGACAACCTGCTCACAACACCCTGAGCATCCCAACAGTTCCTGGCTGAGAAGAACATCGCCGTGCTGGAGCAACCTCCCTACTCACCCCACCTGGCTCTGTGGGATTTTTTCCTCTAAGCTCAAGGGGGTCATCAAGGGGACCCATTTAGAAGGCATGGACAACATCAAGATGGCTGTGATGATGGAGGATCCTGGAAGAATCCTTCCAGCAGTGCATGGCGGCATGAAGGCAGAGAAGGCTGGGAAAGTGTGTTAGACTCCAGGGGGATTACTTTGAAGGGGAAAACTTGTAGTTTGTAGTTTGGATTTGAATTATATCTTTTGTGACACCAGTCCTGAAACTCTTCTGACACACCTCATTAAAGGCAACATGTAACCCACTCAGTCCCTGTTTACTGCTTTCAAATCAGTCTTTGAGTTTTAACTCTTTCTGATTGCTCCTCAGCGCCACACTTTTTTACAGAGCATCAAAGCTAACGGCTAATTGTCTTGCAACATGCAAACACCAAGGATTTGTCCCGTGTTGTGGTGACATTGCCATCAAAAACAAAAGTAATTCACTGGGTTCTTGGTTGCTTAGATTCTGGGAGTGCATGTAAACTCTTGTATTCACTCCTGCAGGCAGAAACACAACATTTGTTGTGCTTTGCTCGTGGCGGAGACATGGTAGAGTTGGCAGAAACAGCTAAAAAATAAACAGACTGCTGATTCTGCGTGACTCATCTGGAATCAGTGACAAGTGAGGGGTGCAGGAGTATAAATTTTAGCTGAAGACTTTTAGTTCTTACATGTTTATGTAGCGAGTGAAAAAAGTTCTTGTGTTCTCCAAGCTGTGGAAGCTGTTAATCAGGAGCTAGAGGAGTGTAGTAAGCGTCCTAATATTCTCATACCTTTTATTTTAATCCTCCAGGTTTTTAAGGCATGAACAAAAAAAAAACAATAAAAGGGATTTTACCACATGGGACAGTTAAATCTTCATATGTCACAAAGCTTCAGACATCATCATCTTTCTAGGTACATGTGTTATAACAATTGTATATTTATGAACGATTGTCTCTTTACTTTTTCCAGACAAAGCCACCAACCCCTCCAACAGACATGAAGACTGGGAGTATATTATGGGATTCTGTGATCAAATCAATAAGGAGCTAGAAGGGTATGGCCACATTCATTCAATAAACTGAGTCTTGTTTTGAATCACACCCATCTAACCAAATTATCAGTAACGTCGTTCTGAAGACATTGAGGTCAGTACTGACGGTTTAATTGAGATTATATTTAATTCTTTCTTTCTTTCTTTGACAACTTCCAGTCCACAAATATCCATCAGACTGTTGGCATACAAGATTCAGTCCCCTCAGGAATGGGAGGCGATGCAAGCGTTAACGGTCTGTCGTGTAATCATTTCACTCATTCTGATGTCCTTCAGCGTAACCTTGCACTGTAGATATTGACTTAAGCTTGTTTTGCCTTTGCAGGTTCTTGAAGCTTGTATGAAGAACTGCGGGCGAAGGTTTCATAACGAAGTTGGGAAATTTAAGTTTTTAAATGAATTAATTAAGGTGGTTTCACCCAAAGTAAGTCACAGAAATGTTAGAAAGCCCTCTGTTGAGAATGAAGTTCTTTTTAGTGAATGTTTGTTGTCATCCTAAGCAGTGTGTCTTTCTTTTTTTCAGTATCTAGGAGACAAAGTTTCAGAAAAGGTGAAGAAAAAAGTGATAGAGTTGCTGTACAGCTGGACGGTGTCTCTGCCTGATGAAGCAAAGATCTGTGAAGCTTATCAGATGCTGAAGTCACAGGGTGAGTCGTGGACCACTGAGAAACTTCAGATGTGTTGATAGCATTCATCAACATCGTGACAAAATATGAATGCATAAGAGTGACATTCAAAAACAGTTTTCCAACAATTACCACTGTCTTTTGATTTTAGTTTTTTTTAAGGTAATTTAGTCACCTTTTAGTACTGAAACCGTCTTTACCTGAGTACAGTGCCTATGTGTTGTCATTTTTATTTCAGGTATTGTTTTAGCTGACCCAGAAATATCTCTTGATGCCACATTAATACCATCACCCTCTCCCCGACCCAAAAATCCTGTATTTGATGACGAGAAGAAGAGCAAGGTAAGAGGACCTATTTTGGGATGCGGACGTGTCAACACAAATGCTGACTCACTGCACCTCGCTATCTTATCTCTGCTGCAGATACAAGTTTATAGTTTTACTGGCAGAACATTTAAGATATTATATCTCTTATACCCGACATTACATCGCAATTGCAGGCATGATAGGGGTGTAATGGTGCACGTATTTGTACCGAGGATTTTGGTACAGCTCTTCCGGTTTAGTACTCATCTGTACAGAGCGAATACATGCTATACTGCTGAGGTCTGCTTGATGTGAACACTAGGTTCTCAGTTACCTTCAGTGACAATGGACACACACACAGGGGGTTCAAATGAAAGCTTTATGCCGGCATTGTTCGGCCGCATTCTTGTGTGTTGCTGCTCGTACATTGAACTTGCTCGGTAATCTGAGATGGCATCACGCTAATTTTAACATCAGTGGTACAAGAATAAAAGTGAGTGCAGTGCAAACACAGCTCCCTGCGGCACTGAAGCAGCTTTTTGCTAACTGGACCAAAGTAATAACAAACATCATTGGTGTTTTTTTTTACAGAAGTGGATATGCAACCATTCTCTGTTGCTGAGAACATGGGTTTTAAACACATGCTGAAAGCAATCAAGCCCCATTACGAGTTCCCTCTCGTCCGCATTCCAACCAGCAGGTCATACCAGCCCTTCCTGATGAAACACAAGCTACAGCCACTGTTGCATAGTTTCAGTGTGAACCTGAAAGCTTCTAAATATGAATGAAAACGTGGTACAGTTTAGGCACAAGAATACCTTGTAAATGCTGCACATTAATACATATTTATTTTTATTCATTTGAGATAATTTACATTTTTATTTACTTGAGTACATTTGACTTTTTTCTTAGTAGGCTGCAGCCAGTTGCAGCAGACTTTTGCTTCAGAGGATTACAGCCTGTTGGGTAAACCTGTGTAGTTTTTAGGAGGAAGGAAAAACAGGCAGTTTAATGAGAGGTGGAACGTCTTCAAGGAACTCAAGCAAGTCCAGTTGCTATGATTAATCTACAAGAATAAGCAGTTTGAAGTTTCATATTTCCTGTTTAGCTGTACCAAAACCGTAGCAAACCGGACCCTTACAACTGAGGTTACACCCCTAATGCACAGTACAATATGTGTGTGTGTGTTTCAGTGCAAAGCTCATTTGAAACCCCTGCAGTCGAGGCATCAGAGTGCCTTTATGTTTGATCCAGAACCCTTACCCTCCAGTGTAAATAACTATTGAAGAATAGTTTGACATCTCTGGACATAGTGTCGTTTGCCTTTTGGCCAAGAGTGAGTTGGGAAGATCAATACCACTGTCATGTCTGTCCGTTAAATACATGTCTGTCCGTTAAATACAAAGCTACAGACAGGATGCCGTTAGCGAGGACCTTAAAAGACACTGATCCTGGCCAAGAAGTATTTATTTAAACAGTTTACAGTGATAAAGTTCTGGTTAGCACTTCTAAAGTTATCTGACTCTGTATAAACTTTAACTTCAGACAGCTGGAAGCCCGCTGTTTGCCCATTTTCAGTTTATATGCTAAGCTAATTGTTTAACAAGTGTAGCTTTGCACTTAAGTAATAAATATGAATTAGAATTTTTGTTATCTAACTCTCGATGACTTTGTAGAAAAGACACTGCAAACAGTAAAATTAGTCTTTAATGACAATATACTTTCATGATGATTCAGTTGTGTAATGGGAATTTTGCTGACAGGATTTTGTCACTACATGCCGATGTCACTTTTTCATCCTTTAGTAAAGGCTTTGTATAATTGCATTACACGGAAATAAAGACCAAATTCATGTGAATTTAAGACCACGACCTAATTTCTTTCTTGGCGCAAAAACAGGTCATGACCGCGTGTTTATTTTGTGCTGCTTGCAATTGATCTATGGGTGAGGTTTGTGTTTTTTAAGGTCAGGAAATGGCTGTGCTGCTGTCTGTGTGATCTGTGGCAAACAGCGTTTATTCACAAACAAGTCTCTTTTGTCTCTGCAGAGATTATCAGAGCTGCTGAAGAGTAAAAAACCCGAAGATTTACAAGAGGCCAATCGGCTCATCAAGAACATGGTCAAGGAGGTGTGTCCGATCTGAACAAGATGCTCTAACTGTGATGATTGTGGTTTAAATTAGCCAGAGTTGTGGCTGTTTCTTCAAGGAATAATGAGACGGAAAGTGCTGCGCGCACTTCTCGGTTTTCTCCTCAAAACTTACGTAATGAACTCATTAAATCGGGTTCAACGGAGCCTACTCAACATGTTTTTTTTTGTCTCAGGATGAGGTGAGGAGACAGAAAGCAACAAAACAAAAAAGCACATTGGAGGCAGCCAACAACAGCGTCAAACTCCTTAATGAGATGCTCGCTCACTTCAGCCCAGACGATTCAACAGACGGAGACAAGGAGCTTATTAGGGTTCGTTCACTTTTAGATATGACTCAAATGACCTTTTTAAAGCAAATTCAGTTATTTCTTTGGCATTGGTTGACCTTTCTACGAGCACTGTTGCAAACGTCCAAGTGCTGCCCATACAACAAGAAAGCAGCCTGAACTCATTTAGGACTGTTTAACTGAAGCTTGCGGGAAGTAATTAAAACGCCCCGTCATTATGAGACAGTCCAGCCCTTTAGTAAATATCAAGTATGTTTCAGATTTGATCAGATTTTCTGATCAAGTACAGACATATTCAGTATCACATAAGTGGATGTGCACAAGGCTGACAGAACACTTGTGATGAACATGACACAGCATCTTTTCAAACGTTTGATCCTGCATATTTAATACCACACAAATGCCAATGTGTATTAGAAACGCGTTCCTTTGTTAAATCCTGTAATTCGATTGAGATTCAAGATCTGAATTTTTAACGATTTCTGTCTGTCGTGTTGTTTCCAGGAGTTGTATGGTGATTGTGACAAACTGAGGCAAACAGTATATCAGCTGGCTACCGAGAGCGAGGATAATGACACCAGCTTGGGTATGAAATCCTGTAATTTGGTCCTGCTGATTCTAATGACACATTCTTGCTATTTTTTGCTTGAGCAGATGTGAGCCCAAGATCCCATCACTTGACTGATTAACAACCATTCTGCTCACAGAGGTCATAATAATAATGTGATCGTTTGGGTTTTTTTTTTTAAATCAAATTTTCCTGATCTTCACTCTGGTCTAATTTTTAAAAATGCATATTTAGGAGACCTCTTGCAGGCCAGTGATGACCTCTCCCATGTCATTAATTCCTACAAGAAGATTGTAGAAGGGCACACCATCAACGGAGAGACTGATGAAGCACAACAAACACAAACATCAGTAACACAAGGTATTTGTCAGTTACGAGCACAGAGCCTCTTTAAAGTATGTTTGCAGCATCAGAGTAACATTTGCTTTGATAGTTACAGACGTGATTCATTTTACCATGACTGGTTTTTAGCTCTGTTCTAAAGAGGCTGTTTTTCAGTCAGTATTTCTAATGAGTTTCATTATCTGACAATAAACAGAATTACATGTAATAAGAACAGCTTTATTGGGAATTCAGCTGTGTTAGAATACAGTATATGTGCACACAGAGAGAAGTAAACGGATGCAAACAGCAGCTGATGTGCAACAGGTGACCTGACAACACATTACTCCACCCCAGTCATTGTTTATTGGCTTCAGATCAGTCTTAAACTGAACTACAGTCTCTGAATGCCCCTTGAGAATTGGCAGATGTAAACGTCATCATATTTTAATAGCTTTTACTTTACAAATCCATTTTATTGCTACAAATCACAGTAACACTGGATTTTCAAGATGTGAGACCTTTAATACACAATCACCAAGCCAGGAACCACAATGAAAATTTAAATGTGCAAAGAAGACATTAGCCTCATGTTGCAAATGAACATCCAGTTTGATCTGAAAAGGAAGGAGGTGGTGGGTGGAGAAGTGAGTTAAAAGCATCTGTTGCACTACAGAGCTTGTTCTGATCGTACTTGGTCTTAGCAGTTTTTAAACTGGAGAAGAAGGATGCTAGTAGACCTCGATAGTCACTGAGGTCAGAGGGCTGTATGGATTTACGCCATTTTCTTTCTGCTGCTCTGAGCCCCACCCTTTGCTTTCTGGTGTCATCAATGAGCCATGGACAAGGTGGAGAGGTATGATCAGGTTTGCATGTTAGAGGGCAGAGATTGTTCAGAGAGGAGGCTGGTGAGGAACAGAGAGTGTCTGTGGCCTCGTCAACGTGAGTGAGGAGAATCTGTTATGAGGAGGCATGGAAGCCAAGACCTCATTAGAAAGCTGGGTCGGTGTGAGGGACTGAAGGTTTCGGCGGAAGGAGACCATTTGTGGAGGAACTGGAGAGTCTTCCAGTGAGGAGACAGTGAACTGAATAAAATGGTGGTCGGACACATGAAGCGGAGTGACACTCAGATTTGTTGTGGAGCAGTTTTGACAGAAAATCAAGTCAAGCTTGTTTCCCGCTTTGCGTGGGAGGGTAGAAACCTGCTTCAGGTCGAAAGATGCCAGAAGTGACAGAAAGTCACTTCCTTGGTCTTGTCTGTGTGGATATTCATATCTGCCATGACAACAAGTGGTGTGTCACAGTCCTGAATGGCCGAGGGTAGCATGTCCAGTTCAACTACGTTACCCAGCAGACACCCTGAAGGATGATATGTGACAGCAACAAATAGCTTAACCAGTACAGTGACAGTTATTTTGATAGGCTTTCATTCGTGTTTTTGACAGAAGTGACCCTTTAAACTTTGCTTGACACATGGATGGACAGACAGTAGTACTAACTTTAGTACATTTTTTTGGTTGCTTGTGCTCCGGTGTTGATTTTTTTATTTTTTACTCCATCTCATAGGCACTGGACGCACAAACCAGTCAGAGATTCTGATCGATCTGGTGGGTCTGGACATCCAGACCCCCTCTCCACCTGAACAGCCACCTCCAGCATCTTCTCTGTCGTTTCCTGCCGACCTGCTGTGTGGATCAGCCGTCACTGACCCTCAGGCCCAAAGTGTTAGCACACCGTCTGCAGCGCTCTCACTGCTGGATGAAGAGCTGCTGTCTTTAGGTAGCATGCACTACAATGTATTTGAAGCATTGTGTTTCTTTTCCTGTGATATTGGACATTAACTGATGTTTTAGAAGCTCTTCAGGCTTAATTTTCTGACACATTTGTGCTCATTTATAGGCCTCAATGAACCTGCTCCTGCTGGTAATACATCAACACAACAAAACCTGAGCGATCATTTGCCATCTTTACAGGTAAATAAAAAGTCATTCATAATAACTTCAAGGACAATATTAACAGAAATAACATTTTTTTATTGTCCATTCCAGGATGCAACTAAAGATTTGGGGTTTTTGGACACCGCTTTGCCCACAGTTCCTGCGTTCTCCACACCTCCACTCTTCCTAGACGCCCTCTCTTCAACAGTAGCCTCAGTCAGTCCTACCAAAACTTCTACAACTGCCTCTGCCTTAAGCTTTCCTGGACCTGTCTTTTCCACACCTCCAGTTTCTGCAGCACCTCCGTCAACAGTCATGTTCCCACAACCTCTCAGTGCAGCGCTGACCACCGTGGCTCCAGCCGCACTTCCTCAGCCTTTCAGCATGACCTCGGCCGCTCCCTCAACCAACCCTGTAGCTCCACAACAGTTCACGTCTTCACCGGGAGTCTTCCACTCGCCGTCCGCTTCTCTCAGTCACCAACACCAAGACCTCACCCTGCTGGATCTTGGCGGTTCAAATAAGTGAGTAATGCAGGAGATTATAATGTGTGAACTGGCCCATAAATCTGCTAAACACAACATTTCACGTTCTCGATTCTATTTTGTAAAAAAATTTAGTAAAAGGTTCATGCTCTTCTTCTGTTGTAGTATTTTTTGAAATTGCACTGATTTACCTGAGTGGGTGTTTAAGCAGTGAAGTTTAGAGAAGCTTCCACCTACTGAGTTGGTTTTGCCTTTAGTTCTATTTGAATTTTTAAGTGCATCTCAAATAGAAGACTGATCCACCAGACTCCATTAGCCCTTGACCGAAGATGATACTTGGATGAACCCGTAGCTGCTTCACACGCTGTGTTTTTCTCACTGTAACTAAGCAACATTACTCAAGAATGCATCGTCTCAGTTTCATCAAAATGTTGAAGATTAGGATTGTTCATTCTGTGGCATTCAAGTGGTAGTGCTTTTTTTTTTTGCCACTTGTTCAGTTGTCTAGTGACACCGATGTCTTAGCATTTCCCTGTTAATTAATGAATCACGCTGCAGTAACTGTCTTTAAATTGATTTCTGTCTTCTTCTGCGACCGTGTTGTCATTGTTTATACCTGTCATTTTACACTTTGAGACCTGTAATATCCTTTACTAAGACGCCTTAATCATCTGTACAGCACAACTCTTCTCATAGAATGAAGACATACATGGTCTTGTCACTCTGCTCTTCTAGGTCTGCTCTCACCTCCACCACGTCCACCTCACTGATTGCAGGAGGCATGCAGGGATGGTCGACTCCTCCGCCTACCAAGAGTCAGGCAGACGACAGCCCTCTTTTGCGCTCTCTGTCCCCCATCCTCCCACTGAGCCAGGCCAGTCCAGGCGGGAGACAGCAGGTCTCCCTGGCCGATGTGTTTGTCCCTTTGGATGCCATCAAGCCAAGTGAGTTCAAGGACCTCTACGTAACAAGAAACAGAAAAAAGTCAAATCACCTGCTGTCGTTACAACATTACACATTCTTCCTTGTACCTTTGAGAGGACACAGCTCTTCTGGATTTAGCCAGTTTCACTCGCTCTTGTCTCTTCATGCAATCTGAGACTAGCATGATGATGTTAAGATCAGAGCTCTGTGGGAGCGACACCAGTTGTTGCAGGACTCCCTGTTCATGAAGTGATGTCTTTATGAATCTGACTGTATGTTTTGGGCCATTGTCACATGTCACGACGGGTTTGGGACTAAACATCCCTGATAGTGTTAAAAATCTAAACCTCTAAAAGGCCAAATGTCTTTTCCAAGTAGTGGATGTAATTTTAATTAACAACAGTTATGCTTCAAAATTAGGTTTTCACTAATAATGAGCAATTTCAAGGGCTTTTGTCTGTGGTTAAGATCTCATCCTTTTGCTGGAAACAGGAAAACCAGATGCCAACTAGTGTAATGTAAAACAGGCAATTATGAAATGAAATGAAATGAATGAAATGAAAAATACTTTATTCATCCCAGAAGGGAAATTTAATTCAAATTCAATGTGCACAGATGACTTGGTGAATTGAAGTTCTGTTTTATATCCTCAAAAGTTGAAAGTAGTCTTATTTAGCTGCTTGTTGCTCCTTTGGTGATCACAGTAATTCAGAGAATGGACTGTCTTTTCAATAACTTTTTTCCTAATCTCTCAACTTTAATAAAATACTCTGAGAATAGATTTGAACAAAACAGCTGACGTTTCTGTTTACCATTAATTTACTAAACTGAAGCTGTTTCTTCTCGGAGAGCAGCAGCCTCCTCGTTATTTGAGATTTATCGGTTGGAAAACAGAACGTTAGACATCACTCCCACCTTGTGGCGACAGTGGCCAACTCAATACGTCTGGAAGAAGAGACTGAGTGATGTTTGTGTGATTAGCTGTGTGCGCTTAGGGTTGTCAATATCTGTCCTAATCACCTTTTGCTTTTCTCCTTTTAGGTAAAGTGTGTCCTGTGACAGCATACGATAAAAATGGCGTTCGTCTCCTGCTGCACTTTGCTACCGACTGTCCACCCGGCAGACCCGATGTGTTGGTGATGGTGGCGTCCATGCTGAACACAGCACCACAGCCTGTCAGCAGCATTGTTCTGCAGGTTGCTGTGCCCAGGGTAAAAGCTTTTTAATAAAAAATATCACTGTTACTCTCCATCAAGCCATACAGTTTGGATTTGAAGTCATAATTTAGGTAGATGTCCCTGCACATGAAGTCATTTATGTGAAAATGTAATTCCGGTGGTTTCTGTTTAATCTACATGAATGTCTGTTCTGCCAATAGACGATGAAAGTGAGACTGCAGCCCCCCTCAGGGACAGAGCTGGCTTCTTTTAACCCAATACTTCCCCCTGCTGCCATCACTCAGGTTATGCTGCTCGCCAATCCTCTCAAGGTAGACCTCACGCTGGTGTTTTTTTTAAATTTTCATATATTTGTCAATGCATTAAACATCATATTGACTGACAGAACTCTTGCTTACTTAAGCTGTTTCAAACCAGACAGCACAGCTCAGCATTATTCCGTCTTGCATACCAACCAGTACACGTTAAGGATGAAATGATCAGCGGCGTTGGATGTTCCAGAAAGATATCGAATCACATGCTTTTGTGTTTTGCAGGAAAAGGTCCGAATGAGATACAAGCTGACGTTCACGCTGGGAGAGCAGCCGCTCGCCGAAGTGGGGGAGGTGAACGAGTTTCCGCCCGCTGATAAATGGGGAGCTCTATAGCCCCGCTTCCCCCCCCGTTAGGATGGCCAGACGTTACGAGACTTCTTTAACAACTAAAGCGCAAAAAGGTCAACAGAAAGGGCAGAATGGGAAGGCTTTTAAGGAAAGGTTGAATATATTATAAACTTTAATGAACCCTGAGGAGCTTTAGACAGCCCACTGATGTAGCCAAAGTCCTGTAGCGAACATCCAGCATTAACTTTTTCTACAGTGCCAGATGTAGTCAGTCAGTCAGTGAGATGCAGTAACGACGGATGTGAACCAGTGGAACGTGGACGATGGTTGTTTTGGTAAAATTGCTAAGTTATTTTTGAATTTCTTGCCGTTATTATTATTACTATTATACAATTTTGTTTGCATTTTAATGTTGGTATTCTGTCTCTCAGTCATGACAGTACAGATTGGAGAACACTTGCACTTCTGGATGCCGGGCAGTCTTAAATAGAACAACAAAAAAACACACACGTTAGAAGGAGATTGTGAAGCCGTGGTCATTTGAACATGTGACCGCAACCTTAATTTCACATGATTTGCAGCTGACTGTGTATATTAAAGACATTTTACGCTGAAGACATCAGGCCAGAGCAGACAAGAGCCCCTCTGTTGCTAAATAGAAGGAACTCTCAGACTGGCTCATTAAGAATCAGTTACGTTCAGCTGGCCTCTTCCAAAATAACAGGCCCACGGTTACTACTGAAGACTTTATTCTGGGGTTGTTGTTGTTTTTTTTATCTACTCAAGTTATATTTTTAGTGTTTCTGTATTTATATTCATGAATGTATTATTTATTTTGATTTGGGGGGGATAAAGGTATCCGATGTGTTCACTGTTACTGTACGGTGTTGCAGTCGACATGGTGCATGCTCTTCTCATGATAAGTATTGCAGCGAGGGACGCACAAGTCAATAGTTGTCTATCTAGTAGGAGTATTTAATGTTAACAAGTATTCAGACAGACACGTTAGAATATGTTATTTAGCAACCCAGGGGTGGATTCTGGATCAATTCCACGTCTTGTTATCAGGCTGTGATCTCTGGACAGCATCTTAATCAAGAACTTTGTGCTTATTAAAACACTAGACTTCTACCAGAGACATTGACCCCTTTTACTTGGCAGATCAAGTATATATACATATATATATTAAATGGATGTGGATACCTGCAGACAATAAACCTGTGGACACAAGAAGATAAGATTAAACTGCATTGATCCCTCACTGGGAAACGTACAAAGGCATTTTGTTAGAAATTGATTAAATGCCATGTGCTGTTTGACCTGCTGTTAGATGAACCAAGTTAAAGGGGTTGATCATTCTCTCTGGATCAAGTGTAAATGTTCTGCTTTTGTGGGAGTTTCCTCTTTCAAACTAGGAAAATACTTCTATGTGTAAGCCTTGACTAAACACAGTACATCAGTGTTGTTCATTCAGAGCATTAGGCTTCCCATGTGTTCATCCAAAACTGTGACATCTTCATTTCTGTCTTTCTAGGGCTATTTAGTGCTATAGAGGAGATTCTCGACATGTTTCTTATGAAATTATTTATTTGTCTTAGATTGTTAAATTAACTTGTCATTGCATATTTTTTGAAAAGCTATTTCTGTGCATGGAAAAATAAAGGAGCTGGATCTATTTGTATGACAGTTTGCTCGTGTCATGCCTCGTTTTTGAGTGTTTTGTGATGAATTCAGTGCAGTAACATATTAAACAGCATTGTTGAGGAGGGCTGCAGTTGGTTTGCAGTTGGTTAGCACTGTTGCCTCGCAGCAAGAAGGTCGCTGGTCCGCATCCCGGTGGGGGCACCGGAATCTTTCTGCGTGAAGTTTGTATGTTCTCCCCGTGCAGCGTGGGTTCTCTCCGGGTTCTCCGGCTTCCTCCCACACAGTCCAAAAACATGTTGAGGTTAATTGGTGATTCTAAATTGTCTGTAGGTGTGAATGTGAGTGTGCTTGGTTGTCTGTGTCTAAGTGTAGCCCTGTGATAGACTGGTTACCTGTCCAGGTGAACCTGCCTTCATCCTAAGTCAGCTGGGATAGACTCCAGCCCCCCACGACCCTAGTGAGGATTAAGCAGTGTATAGATGATGAATGGATGGATTGTTGAGGGGTATTTTCATGTAGCTCTCAATCATAATAAGATTATTAAGTAAAAAACACTAATGCAGCATAAGGATTCTTGACATTATGATATGGTTTTGGGGTGTTATTGGAGATACAACCACATCTGAGCTAACTTCAGCATCCTCATCACATGCTCTATCACTTCCCTTTGACAGGATGTTAAGTAAAAAAGTATAAAATAGAGATACTCAGTTTAGATCAAAATAACTTCATAAGGTGCATATTTTTGATTCAACTTGCAGATCATTAAAATATGTGTCTATGAAAATGTGGACTCTGAAGTGGTGCATGTAGACACACTAGAATGCCTTTGCTACGGTGTATTTCTCTAGATGATCGGGCTCAGCTGTGAGCTCTGCACTGCAGCCGACGCAAAGTGGCGCGCCAGACAGCGCAGCCGCAACACAACAGGCGCAGACAGACAGCCGCAGCAGCAGCAGCAGCAGCCATGGCAGACGAGAAGCCCAAGGTGAGGAGCGGGTTTTGAGTGAGGTTTTCTGAGCAGCGTGTCCTCGCAGTGTGTGCGTTAATTGTAGCGGCGGTGGTGTCGGAAGCAGCCCATGAGTCCAGTTTGTCAGCGGTCGTAAATTCGAAGCAGCGCTTCAGCTCCAACCTGAGCTAACGTTACCGCGTTAGCCAGCCAGCTAGCAAGCTAGCGGGTGAAATTAGCATAATAGGCTAACAAGGCTAATGTGCCTGAGTGCCCCGGCGAAATGAAAGAAATAAGATTATGTGGACTTCTTAGACGCGTTAAAGCAACCTATTTCAGATGTACGTGTTAGTATATAGATGCACGTGTAGCTCGAAGCCAAGTGCATGTTCAGGTAACTTTAGCAAGAACCGAGGGAAAGTGAGTGAACTGTTACCGCTGAGACACCGCAGTGTGCAACAGGACCGGGCCGGGATGAATTGTTCGAGCACAAATCGTTGACTGTAAGCAAATCCCTGTTAAAATGCTCTTAGTTATAGTCACCGTCGGTTTAAACTCAGTGTCTCTGGATGTGGAGGGGTGTTCAAAGTGGTGATTTTCAACCTGGCTAGGCCGGTGGGCATCCCCCAAGTAATAGGCCATTGTCGGTTCCCATGCTAATGCTAATGCTAACGGTGGAAGTCGTAATTTTGCTCCTTTCTGCGCCCAGTAGCCACACTGGTCCTCCGATTAGTGCCCAGCAGATACAGTCAGAGAGATGGTTAAACAGTCCACACATGCAGCATGAATTGTATTTTCACGTGAAGTCGCTGAGGTACACTGTGTGCAGTCCTACATGGTGTGCAGCGGATGGGGATTTGTAGTTGGACGCACAGCCTCTTGTAGTTCATCATTACCATCCCCTAAAGCTGCTTCTTGTTTTCTTGTCTGTTTTTTTTTTTCCAGGAGGGAGTGAAGACGGAGAACAATGAGCACATCAACCTGAAGGTGGCAGGGCAGGATGGCTCAGTGGTGCAGTTCAAGATCAAAAGGCACACTCCTCTCAGCAAACTGATGAAAGCTTATTGTGAACGGCAGGTGAGGCTGCAGCACAAGTTTGATGCCACTTAAGACAAGTCAGCTTTAAATTAGAGGCAGCTTAACTTGATAGGAAAATCTCAAACCGCTTATCTTATGTTAAATCGGTGATCATCACATTTCAATACTGTCATGAAATCCTAACAACAGGTTATTGTGACGGTCATTAATATGATCTTTATAGGACTGAAACAATAAATATCATCTATTGTGTGGTGAGAGTTTGCAGAACCTATTTTTCTCTTTTTTTATTTTATTTTATTGGAATTTGCTCATTCTGTCTATTTGCATGGCACCATGGAGTCTCAGTTCAGCAAAATCTTGATAAGCTTGCATGAATATTTTTTTTTTAATGGTTGCAATAATGAAAGAGAAACTCAAGCATCACTATTTTTTTTCGATATGATAGCTGTTGAGCAAAGTTTTTTTTATATGGGATGTTTTATGCCTTCTTATTTCGCAAACAGATGAGAGATTATACCAGGAATTGCAAATTCTGATCACTTCCTTAACTCGTAGGTCAGCTGGTTTCCCCGTTAACGTGACGTTGTTAGTGTTCTAAATATAATATTCCTCTGTCTGTCCACACAGGGGCTGTCGATGAGGCAAATACGGTTTCGATTTGACGGTCAGCCCATCAATGAAACAGACACACCTTCGCAGGTAAGAGCACACCTTGCTGTTCAGCCTACATACAAACTGTGCACCCTCTAGATGACTTTTTCTGTGAAATATAGTTAATTATATAGAAAGAATAGTGACCCTGAACCTCACTGATTTGGCTCTGATTTTTAACTTTGTCATGTTGTAGAATATTTCTTTCAGGTAGTTCAATCAAGCATGCAGTGAGACGAGTTTAATAGTAAAATTTGTCTGAGCTTGTGAAGCCCAGACGAGTAATCGAGTATCATTATGCTGGCATTTTTAAATAAATTATTGCTATGTAGTTACAGAAATATTACGTAAATAATGGCAGGTCAATACTGTCCTCCTATCTGGTTCTTTCCATTTATTTTTTAGGACACTAGTTTATCTTTTATTCACTGTGGACGTTGCGCTGATGTGCCTTCGTGGACAATCTGAGTTCACGTCTCAGTTAACTTTAAAATCTGTGACGCTACACAGCAGTGAAAGAGCTGCTAAAAGACTAAATCGATCCATGCAGAGTCAACACCTGCTTCTGTTTGTGTAACGTGTGGCAGTGCTTGTATTGCATCCAGATAAAGCACATCATTTTAGATAACAAGAAGCAGCTGTAAACAAACTGGACTCTTGGCTGCAGCTGTTATAAATATACAGGAACAGGTCCTGTTTACATCATGTTGACAGTCTCAGGATTACTCTGGAGACTGTACTCGGCGACAAAGAGTGAAGTGCACGGTGATAAATGAGCTCACGCTGTGTGCACATGATCGCTGTCCAGATTAGGAATGATGAACAGGTGTTTTGTTTTTCACACAACTACACCACTAACAAGCTCCTAACTCCCATCTCGTCTCTGATTTACAGCTCGAAATGGAGGATGAAGATACAATTGATGTGTTCCAACAGCAAACTGGAGGCTGTCCTCTTTAAAGACTGTTTCCTGAAAACACCCCTACCTCCCCTTTTCATCCCTCGACATCTTTGTTATGCCCAGTCTTCTTCAAATGCTCATGACCAGTGCTGATACCATCCAGTGGAACACTTAATTCAAAATGCTCAAAAGGCCGCAGCACAGTTGGTGTAGTTTTATCACACTGTCCTTCATATGTTAACATGTCTGAACTGCGCAGCGTAGACGGCTCGTAAGCTGCAGTGAGTCTGATGATGTGCCGAAGAAATTAAAAGCTTGGTAAGATTTTGTTTTTGTTTTTTTTGTTTTTGTTTTTTTTCAAGATTTGGAAACAACACCTTGGTCCTTGTTTTTGTTTTTATACTTATGTCATTAAGGTTTTGATTCAGATAGAATTTTGTCATTGTTGAGTAAGCCTGTGTTTTAAATTCACTGACATCTGTTGTTATGAAAATGTATTATTGGAATAAATTGAGTCTTCTTTTTTTTTTTACAT